CATTCTTCTTCTGTACCTCAACCACAACTCTCCAACCATTTGGTTGGAGGCTCCAAAGGCTTTGAGGAGCCAAAATAAATGTCACAGTTCCAACCACAGTTGTCATTTTAAGCTGAGTTTTCAGAGGTTAACTATGGGGTCAGTTATAGGAAATAATTGCTTAGCAATGACAGAGTCTACACCACAGGTTCCACAGCTCACTGTTGCAATCCATTTACAGAAATATCTAACATACTATCTTTTGTCTTTGTCCACAGAAATCCTTGTGGGATATCAAAATACAGAAAAATTAGACAAAATGAGAGTCAACCTACCTTTTACACAGACTTGCCTACTTTTTCCTTCTTAGTTTTTAATGAAAATATAAAGACCGTTCCTCCCGGATGGTTAGAAACTGGTGAGATCCCTAGAACCTCTCCCCATAGATGGAGAAGCAGTTTGGGGAGCACAAAATTAAACTGGAAATGGATAAACAGCTCTTTTGTCTACTATGGTGACTTTTGGTTAAGAAAAAGGGTATAAAGAACCATAATTACACTATCCTGATTCACAAAAACCACTCAGGACGTAACTCTCCAAGTGTGGTCAGTGGACCAGCAGCAGCCTCCCCATTTATCCCAGCTGGGGATGAACATGGGAGGGGGGTCAGAGGGAGCAAGGGGCCCACATCCGGCTGACTTTTGGGGCATATGGGGAACCATCTGTCCAGAGCCCAAGTACTACATCACCACACTTCCCTCCCTGTGCCAACGTCAGCTGGACACATCAATGCTTGCTTCTACCCTCAGGACCCATTTCAAGAAGTAAATTAATACTTTGGATTACATCTTTGGTACAAAATTAAGTGGAAAATAACCTTTTAAAAATGGAGGCGTTGGCTACCTCAATTATTAGAATTAATGTTACATAGAAAAACTCATGGAAACAATACATATAATGCAGGGTGTTAAGGCATAACATCCTTGTAAGCATAGCTTAAAATATTTTATTTGGAATATATCCCGAAAATTCAGAAATAGTTTGAGAGACATCTGTCTTGAGTGATGATGTGGATTTTCTATGGCGAAGATATCATTTTGAATGGGAGGATTTAAAGAGGGACTTATTCATAGTTACCCAGCTATGTATTTTGGCTGTAATAGATTTTAATATAATTTTTCTTAGTTAATTGTTTGAAGTTTTTGAATCATTTTTTTCTAATCTAGCAATTATTAATGATGTAGTTTTAAGGTTTGTATTATCTATATTTTTTAAAGAAAAAGCTGCATATTTCAGTATTTTAACAGCTTAGTAGCACAATACTTTAATATGTTACATTTCAGTATCTTACATTCTTAGTGGTCTAGGATTTAGAAATTACTAGGAATTAAATACTTTAGCTTTTAATTGTTTTAGAATCTGCATTTATATTCTAACAATAATAAATGAAGGGAATAGAAAAGTATACAGAAATGGGAGGAAAATCATCATTTTATTCACCGTAAAAATGCACTCCCATATTCTTAATGATAACAAGGTAGAAAAGGGATATTTAATTGACTGGTTCTCATATTTTCTAAATATTGGCTTAGTTATCCACAATTGCAGAAATATTATGGTATGTTCTATTTTGGCTTAGTGTTTTTGGGCCAAAAAAAGGGGACTGGGGAGTTAAACAGACACACTAACAATAATGAAAGGAATTATAAGGTGAAGATACCATGAAAAACTGTGAAAAAGTATTTTTTATGGTTTGAATGGAAAAAATGAAAGAAATTGTTATTCATTAGCAGAACAATGACTATCCCAGATATGCCTAAAGTGATCTGTTTTAGACTGGCATGACATTCTTTCCAAAACAAAAATGAAAATCCTGATTAATTGCCAATGTCTACACCCATACAAATTCTTCAAAACTTTTTTTCCTTTGGGTAATTGTAATCCATTATAAAATACAGCTCTCAATCTTTTTCATACAACATTCCTCTGGGAAACAGATTTAACCAATTAATTGCCTGATGTCATCTTGAACACACACACACACACAACACACATTCCCCGCCCCCCCAAGATCTCTGTCAACCCATACACCATTCAGAAATTTTATGCAATTACTGAGATACCTGTGAGCTGAGGATATCATCTTATATTTTCTGATTTGAGAAGAGGTTGTTGAAAACAAAGGAAGGGGCAAGAAGTGAAAATGCCAGTAGATAGCACAGTAAAAAGCCTGGATATCTCTACACCTAGTTTGAGTGTTAGCCATGGCATAGGAGGAGCTGCCTGCTTGCTGAATGATAATGATAATGTAATGCCCAGCACAGTTTTTCTCTTTTTTTGAGTGGTTCTTCTCACTGTGGCCCAGTTTCGTTTTTCTTCCTTCTTTCCCTTCCATGCCATTAGCTTCTTCCTCTTAGCTCATTTCCATCCTAAATTTTTCCTTTCTTTTCCTTCCAGTTTCTGCTGGCCGGAGGAAGGGGAATATACGTGTCTGTGTCAAGAAGTCTGCGTGGGGAGTCAAAAAAATCAAGACGGTGCCTACCATAAGAGACCTGCCCCCTTTTAAGCGCTTTCCATGTGATGCACATAAAAAATGGGCAGGGATTTGATTGTGGCCACCATTTTGACCTTTCTGCCCCATCCCACCCTTTCAGACACCTCGGGGGTATGTATCCGTATCCTTGTATGCTTCTGGGTATGAGGAGAAATTCAGCTTGACCACATGAGGAAATCCCACATTCTTCTTCTCTATATTTATCATCCTTTTTCTCTCTTCTCTTCCATGAAGGGGAATCACTTTAAATTCAAGATCCTCTTTCTTTTGAGGAAATGCAGAATTACAAAAAGATGAGCGGCTTTTATTTTCGTCACAATTTTTTCCCACCAAGTTCCTATACGTTCCTCTACTAAAACAAAGCTCAGTAACGAACAATTTAATAAACATCTGGTTTCCTGGGATCCCTCTTTATTATTACCAATTATGGTGTTCTCTCTCTTTGAAAGTTGCAGCTATTTATCAAAAGGGTGAGTATACCACAGACAATGCTGTTCTCTGTTTGTAGGCACCAAATATTTCAAAGGTACATCCACAAACTCACATTGCTGCTTACCAGCTTCCTTCGTTAGAGCCGAGACCAAGAGCCGAACAGAGACGGGAGCCGCAGGGTACTTACAGTTCAACCATTTCGTTTTGCCTTTGCTATTTCCTACTATTATTCCTGACTCCTTTTTCACACACCCTCTGAAGTAAATGTCTGAATCCCCATAGGAATAGCATAAGGAACTGAAGTAATGTTATAAATGTATCTCAACCCAGTCAAACAAAAGATAAGCCCTAAACAAGAAGAAATTCCTTCTCTCAGTGACTATTCACAGATTGGGGGAAAAACACTGGGCAAAGGAGGAATGTCCTTCTGTGTAAATGTTGCCTTGTGACTTCAAAGCATCAGCATTTGTACAAGACCGAGAGCTGCTTCCGTGCCACAGAGCTGGATTTCAACTCTAACTCGGGTGAGAAACTTTTTGAATAACTTGAATGTGAAGAGAAAGAAGGCAAGTGATGCTCAAGGAGTAGCAAGTGGATGTGGTGAGGGGACCACCAGAACCTGTTACAAGCAGGAAGAAAGAGGAGGAGAAATGGTCCTCAAAGAACCACTGGGGAAAAGTGCTATCAGTGAGGGTGTAGTCTGCCTTCCAACAGGTTGGCTGAACTACTGTAGATCAGGTCCATAAGCTGGAACTTCCCGTGAGGTCTAAGGGCAAAGATGTCTACGTATCATTGGTGGGAAAGTTGGAAACAGGTATGGAGAAGATTGACTTCATGTAATGTGTGTTCTCTTATTGTGTTTACTTGAAGAATCAAAGAAATAGTCACTACAGCAAAAACCAAATTTGGAAAGAGGGGGAGATGGGCCTCAGGATAAAGACGCCTTCAAGCCAAGCTCAACTCTTCCTGGAGCAGAGTCAATACCATATGGACTCAACCATTTAATGGCACTGGCAACAGAAGGGAAGTGGTTTGCACTTGCCTTTTCTGAGATGTCTTTTGACTTTGAGCTGGGCTACAGCCCTGGCATTTCTTGCTGGAGTCCCATCCGAATAATTGAACACGCTCAACCCTGATTATTTTCCAAACCCAACCAAGAGCAAAAATAGGGGATAGGTTCTAATCAAAGGAATTGTCAATCCAAAGTCAGATAGGATAAGAAGAGGTTCCTAAGGTTGAGTATCAACAAATACACTTGTGCATTGTTACGTTTCTTCTACTTTTTGTTCAAATGCTGAAAAGTACAGAAAGAAGAATCCACAACCAGTTGTTAAAGACCATTCCAAATATGCTTAGAATGTATTACATAATGGGTTCAGGACTATTTCTTTAATCTTTAAGAGTCAGAGACATAAACTAATAAGATACTGTTAATAAAATATAAGATTCATCTTTCATATCCAAACTGTATTTTTTTTTCTGGGTAACTGAAATTTCTTTGAGATGGTATCTATAATTAGGAAATTATAGATTAAAATTATAGATTAAAATTAAGAATCTCAAATTAGCTTGGACAATTTTTGAAAAGCCTGCCAAAAACTGAAACTCTATTTCAGAACCGCATTTATCACTTTATTTTTGTTATTTTATCACATTAAGAAGAGATTACAAAGAAAAATAAATATTCCAAAATGCTTCTGTTAAAATAAAAGAATTTAATACTGGGATGAGAGCTGCTACATCTTCTAGGAAACAAATAAGCTTATGTATAAAGCATAAAGCACATATCCATTACTTTAGATAGATTTTCCTCATTATCATACCATAAGTTAAACAGGAATCTACCTTTTTGATGAAAAAAAGATCTAATTAAGCTAGAACTGGCCAAACATCAAAACTAACTGGAATTTTTCACAACGGGGCTGCCTGGGTTTAATAGATATGCTTGTGTTACCTTTTTGGAACAGATCTCAGGAGAACCACAAAACTGAGAAGTAAACAAGACAACTGAAGCATTTCAGTTACAGATACTTACCAGTCCTGCAATGGGAGTTGGCAATCTATTGATCTTTTTGACCAATCCAGGCTTTATGGAATTCAGCAACCTGTTACAAGAAAGGGGTGGCATATTATCAGTCATAGACTTGAATTAGAAATTGCTTCCTCTAAGTACACCACACCTCCATACCAAAACCTCAAAGCTATTGACTTTGGACAGAAATTTACAAAAGCTGACAAACACAATTGTGCAAGTTGAGATTATTATCTGTAACACTTTTGAGAACTTTGAGTTGCAATGTGTCCTGAACTGGAAGCATGAAGAATATAAGGCATGGGTCCAACCTGGAAACCAATGCTCAGCTCTGGCCAAACAAGGGAACTGCACTAGGGACAGTGTATCTCAACAATTAAGTTCAATTATTCAAATAAGCCAGTAAATGGGATGTATTATTCTCTGTCAGCGTGTATGATGAACATCTTCTGAATCAAGCTTCCAATTATCAGGGCAATTTGGAAACGCTTAATACTCCTTGCTGGTTATATACCCCTAGTTTCTTCTTATCTGCCCTTTGCCTCACGTTGAAAAATACGAAGATGGGAATGTTGTGAAAGATTGTGAAGTCAGGAAATTGGCCTCCTTACTTCAGATTTATTTTCAAGCTTCATGTGAAGTAAAGTCTTTAGTAGGTTTATAACCAGTTATATTTAATTTTTTTTTTGTCTGCGCTCAGTTATAACTAAACAACTACTTAAATGCTCCCCAGACAGATTGTGCATTACTATACAGATATTTTAATTAAGTATAGACTTAATTTTTTCATGAAGATTAATAAGAACAATTAATAAGACTGGGAAAAAGTAACTTTATATAGATTAAAGGATTATAAAGCAATGGGATCATAATTAATCTTGTATTAACTACAAGGCCCTATAGAGTTAAGTTTTGTACATAGAATAAGTATCATCTGAAAAAAGTCCAGCTTGGAACTCCCTATCTTTAATTTAAATATATGAATTCTATTATATGAATATATTATATTTGTGAAGGATTCAAAAGCAAAGATAAAGAGCATATATCATATCTCTATTTTAAGCCTCTACTGGATGGAAAACCATGTGTTTTATATCCAATAACTATGATTTTTACAAAATTATAGCTGTATAATTGATGCAACACATGAATAAACTTATTCTCTGTATCTTATCTGAAATTTATTTTATAAAGGATCGTTGTTCCACATCAAAGGCTAACGAGATAAGAGCCATTCAGCAGTTTGAGTTTCTGACTATTACTAATATTTAAAGCTTTCCTCACTAAGGCAGCAAATGGTCATGATGTAATCAGTCTCATTCGGTGCAAATGGATGTTCTTTGATGCTATATTACCAAGCTGTTGAGCAACAATTGTCATAAATATTTTTGCATCTCGTACATCAGTGAAGTGTTAACAGTACAACTGCAGAAGGAGAGAGCCCCTTCAATTCTCTAGAATTCTATAGGGGAAAAACGAACCCTTTCAAAATAATGAGGTTTAAAATTGGAATATTCAAAACTATAATGGGAAAGACTTGTGAATATATTCCCACTGGTAGGAGAGCCATCAGACTAGTCTTAGTAAGGGCTACTTGCATCCTTCATCCATAATAAAGTGTACTCCAAAGCCACTGAGGCCTTGTCCACATTTTTCCATGGTTAATTATTTAAATGATCATGTGGCCAGCTGAAAATGGACTGCTGGTTTCTTGATTCCATTACTTGCAAGAAATTAATGCATGATGAATTCTCACAACCAAGTGATTACTTGACCAACTGCCTGGCAGGGACCAGACCATTGTTTTCCCACTATTAGTGGCAGCAAATCATTTGGGGATAACAGGACAAGGTATGAAGGCCATATGAAGGGGTAAATGTGCATGTTTGTGTGCACAATCTCAACATGGCAACCTGCAGGACATTAGGACATGGAAAGAGTGACCACCCATGTTCTAGTCCTATCAAATAAAAGATTCATGAAACTGCAGTTCTGCTTGAAAGGATACAAAACCTTTAGGAGGTAGCTTTAAATGCTCATGAAACAGTAACTTACAGCAGAGTCATTATTAAAGTAGTCATATGATTACCAATAGCAGCCTCTTTTGAAAAGGCAAATTATAACATCTTGAAAGAATTCAGCAGGGAGAAGATATTTAAATCTTTCCTGTCAACCCATACAAGATCTGAGTTTTTAATAAATATTGTCAATACTCTGGTTAAGTCTACCTTTTAAACTATTACGGCTATAAGTTTGCTCTAATAAAAAGAAAACACCAGCAGAGATCTTCGATAATCTGAATTACCACCCAGTATCATATACTGTGCTTCTTATATACTTCTGCAGAACTATGTCATATGCCAAGGATTAAATATACATTTTTTTCCAAAAATGTATATATTCCTGTCAGACAATGTACAAAATGAAAAATTCATTAAATATTATACAAAATATAAATACTGTATAAAATGTAACATACAGTGATAATGTAGTGTATATGTGACATACAATGATAATGTAGTACTACATACAAATGTAATGCTATAGACCAAACGTGTACAATAAAAATTGCAAACAGCATCACCATGGGTTCTCAAATGCTAAGGCAAATAAACCTTTTTCAGCATTAAGTTTAAAGTGTAAACTTTGGGTTATAGCACCCAAAATCCAAAACACAACATTAAGAATAGGATCAGTCTTTACTTGAGAATATTGGGATTTCTCCAGACCATGTCTACTTTCCTTTCTTATACATGGATGTTGATCCTTTTGCTAGTTAAGGTTCTTTATCACCTTGAACTTTCAAAATTAAGGAAATTATTGAAGGATGAACCCCAAAAATAGTCCAAAAGAAACTTCTTGGGATCCAAGTGATGTAATATGTTCTTTAAGATGCCTAATGTCAATAGAAACAAACAATAATTTGTTAGGAATCTAGAGTTATCACAGATTGTTCTACTCACCCAGCGAAAGTTTCCATAGTGGAAAACACCACAGAAGGGGACAGAAAATGGCAAAATTTGGCCAGATCTTTATGGATGTACAAACTATTAAACTTGATTGCAATATTCCCCCCAAGTTTCAGGCACAAACACACAAAAAAGAAAGTTCTGGTGGCCTTAATACAAATGCCAAATGTCAGGAGCTGCGTGAAATAAATCTTTTAAAAATGTTTGTGTTGGCCTCACTTAGGGTTAAATCAGAGGTGAAGAGGAAGAGAAAGGGAGGGCTCCATATTTCTAAGGGCAGGAAATGAAAAGTGTGGTTAGACCACCACAACTCACAAAGGTGGACAAAGACGTGTGAGAAAGCAAGAAGAGCAGGAAGACAGAGAACAAAATGTGTTGCTATTCAGCTCTTTGCTTTACGCACCAGCAAAATAGGCCTGGAATTCTTTTTCTTACACATACTAGCTCCAAAAATAAATAACTTTCTGAAATAGTGGAACAAAGAGTTTTTGATTTCCACAGAAGTAGTTACGACTGATGTTTGTAGAGAAAAGAACTCAAATCTTGTAGCTTTAAACTAATCAGCTTTCATGGACCTCAATCCACTGCATTAGATGTAGCATCTGATCAAATGAACTGAGATCTGTAACATCTTACATGATTGCAAATGTGTAAATGTTAAACGCACTACTCTTTAAGATGTCACAAGACACTTCGTTGTTTCTGAGCTAAATTGAGAATCTTTTGCATGGCCCTTCTACTCTAAAACAAAGTGGATCTTTATTCAGACCTAAATTAAAACTATGTTTATTAAGTACAGGAAATATATAAATACAATAGATAAGTAGAATACATTGGCTACCATATCTGAGCTACAAATCTCCAGAGGATAGCAAAGTATCAGAGTTCTCTGCATCTCTTTGTTACCATCTAGTGGTTCTCTGGAGTTCTGCAATGCTGGTAGCCTCAGAATACACAAATACACAATCTCTAAAATACACAAATACTAGGTACTGAGTCATTGGTAAGGGGCTTTGTTTTGAAAGAAGTCATGGCCCTTTTGGACACAGCTTCACCGAAACAAAGAAGCAAATGGATGAGGAGCTTGCTAAGACTAATTCGGAAGAAGAGACAGCCCTAGTATAGAATTCACAGAATCATCTCCCACCATTTCGTATCATGTATTTCTGGACTACTACCCTGACAAAATTACATATTCTCGAAGTCTACAAGAATATAAATGACATTGGGTTGAGATTCAAATGGGATAAGTTGAGGACTGCTAAACCTCAACAAAGAGCATCAAGGGACTAATGGTCTACTTGAGTGCCAGGAGTTTCTCCTAAGCAGTCCTGCATTGTGGTTCAGGATAATTTTTACCTACTGGGCTTGCTGGAAGCCAGGCAGTTCTGCATAAAGCCTCTACCTAAAACTAGCCAGGGATAGAAACAGCACTAACAATACAGTGATGTTTTGTGGTCTCTGAGCCATGAACTTGAATCTTACAGCTTACTTCCAGAAGATCTGAGGTATCCTACCACCTAGACCCAAACTTTGTTTCTCAGTCCTTTAAACTTGCTATTAGTACTCTACCCAGATATCTTGAATTCTGGGATGTTTTTTGACATGTCTTCCTGCTGATTCTGTTGTAAGAAATACATGATTGTTTGTTTGTTTATTTTAAATAAGCTTTAGCCTGAGAGCTTGTGGCTGAAAACTTAAGACACAACAGTATCACCACTGAAGAAACCAGAATGAGAAGTAGGTATGGTTTTGGGAATGTTGGGAATGTAAAGTTTGAATTCCCAAAGTCCAGTTTCTAACTGCCTTAGGGCAAATAATCTCAACTAAACCCAATTGTGAAGAAAGGCAATTGTGAAGTTCCTTTGAGATTAAAGTTTCATGCCTCCAAATATTTAATGGCATATGGCCATCTTTCAAAAACTGCTCCAACAAAATAAGCACTGATGCTCATTTTCAAATCACTAAAAATACATGGCTATATTTAGAACCCAGTCTGGATACTCTACTTGGTTCGTGAAGAGGAGTTTGGACATTCTCTTCTGAACGACATTACCCTGTACTGAAAAATGTACTGAAAGAAACATAAATATTTGCTTCTAGC